ACAATAATATATATAATATATATCTGTACTTGTATGTAATTTATAGTATATATATTATATTATATTAATATATAATATATGTGTGTGTGTGTGTGTGTGTGTGCGCGTGTGTGTGTGCGCGTGTGTGTGTGTCAATTATTTCAAGTGTAAAAACCAGAGACCGGAAAATTATTAAATACAGGTAAAAAGACGATGAAACACGCGTATTCTTCCATGTCTCTATCAAATACCTGCATCCTTTTTCCCCGGTAAAATATCTTCATACGACGTCTATACCGGCTTGGAAATCCATGAAGTTCTAGCGGTATTTTCAATGAAATATAGTATATCTCTCATCATAACCACAGAGAAATTAACTTCCTAATGCTAATAATTTTGCGAAATGCTTATTAATAAAATAACTAATGGGGCTACAGAATGACACAAACATTCACGTATTATTTTTCTTCTTTGGTCTTGGCTAGCAATTCGGACTTGCCAAATATTTGCTGCCATAAACAGCTGCCATCTATCGCCAGTACATTTTTTTGAAATTTTCTTTTTATTTCTGTTTCCTAATAGAACAACTGTAATATTACTTTGTACTGCAAACTGCTGAGGTCGTTGGTGCTGAGGGCTCTGGATATAGTTCGAATACTTGTCAATTCCTGGCATAAAAATATGTTTTTGGCAACTAATAAAAATATGACTTTCGATTTTAAAATGAAGCAATTTCAATATGCTTAAACCTCAAAAAGCTTGGCATTTAAAAATGGATTAAAAATAAGAACAATCCAGGTGTAATCAGCATAACACCAATTTTAATGATATGAAACCAAAGACCAACACAAAAAAAGAGTCAAAATAGAAGACATTAAAAACAGTCTTCAGCCACTCGAAATTCACAATATGAAACAAGGGAAGAAAGGATATCTCTAGAAGAAGACGGCACACAGACAAGCAACGGACCGCGTGCGATCTTTCCTTCGCATTCTTTGTCCAATCCTACGCTTTGTGTACACACACATTTATACCACACCGGAGACCGGTTGCCCCGGCTGAGGCGATGCCCATATAGTAGGAAGTACCTGACTGGGGAAGCCCCGCTACCCGACTGTAGGTCGACGCCGGATTTAGCCATCCAGGAGGGAGATCACCGCTGCCTTCCGAGAATAAACACGTTCTTCACTTACGAGACTAATGACCTTAGCAGTTGACTCACCGGGAACAACTATCAGTTCGCCGGTGGACAACTGTTGCGCATTAATCGTTCAGCCGATTTTCTCCAAAATTGATATTCCCTGATAGATTAGAACAGACTGGATGCTTTAGGAGTTTCTAACGGATATTTTGATTGTTGAGAGATTTTTTACATGAATCTTTCACATCTTTACATCTTACATTTACATCTTTATGCCTCTGTCCGATTTCGTGAAACACGGCGTTTGTGTGGCGTAGTGGTATGAGTGTCGGCATGTTAACTCCGAGGATCTGAGCTCGGGTCTCGGAGCGGAAAACATATTGGCTGGTTGAAAATTCTTTTCCTGGCTTATGTAGTAGTATAATATTGCGGATCATTTATAAACAATGCGAGAAAGTATGCGCTTTGAGTGTTCTACTAGTTTGTACTTGGAACGATTTCCATTTACTGTCTACAATTCTGGGTTCTGTCTTTTTGTAGGCAGTTTCTGCTCCACGTTTAAACGAAACTAGTAGTGCTAAAGAATGGCACACAATAGTAGTCTCGTAGTAAAGTTTTCTAATTTCCTTGGCGTGGACTGGATTTACGGTCTTGCCCCATCCTCTTGCCAACTGCCATCTATCGCCACCCAAAGTACGTTTTTCCTAATAGTAGAACCGTAATATTAATTCAAGAATATTAAAAAAAAGTAAAACTTCGTCATATACAGCAATTTTAATTGAGAAATTTGGAGCCGCATTAATAAAATGGCTTTTAAGGGCTACTCTAATGGTGAAATTTGCAGATCTTTTTCACTGAAAATTTTTGAGTTTTCGAAAAAACATTATTTGAAGGCATTTGTGGCACTTTAACTCACAAAAACAATAGTGTCTACAAACCATTGGAAATGTGCATATTAACGGCGTGAGAAATATTTAAAAAATATAATGATGTAATATTTGAAAAAAACAAAAGTATACTCCAAAATTAACTTTATGCCGTTTTAAACTGTGGAATTAGCACTGGCAGTTGAAAAAGTTTGAAGAAAAAAGTTTGAATAAAATTTTAGAAAATGGTATTTGAGTTTTTCTGAAAATGCGGAAATTTGAGTTTATTGTGCAACAAAACTGTTAAGTTTTCGAGAAACTTTAAATCTTATTATTTAAAGCACACGTACTAATAAATACAAAAATGTGAACAAATATTCGTTAATGTAAATGTAAACGTTAATTTTTGAATGAACGAAAGAATATGGCGCTTATGACATCTTATAGAGTGCATTTAGCACTATCATTATATACCAAAAATTGTAAGTAAAAATTTGAAGCCATATTGAGACAATCTTGTTTTTGAAATTTTTAAAATCGCAAATATTGCACGCAATATTTCCCGAAAAGTACAAAGTTTCCAAAAAATGTACATGATCTTCATGAAAGAGTTAATATTTGGGAAAAATGTAATTTCAAGGGAAAATCTCTACAAAATCGTAGTCTAAAAATTCAAACTTTTGCTATTTTCGAAAATTTAGAGTTATCCGTGATAATTGGACTTATACCACTTTTTAAAGAGTATTGTACTTCTTTCTAACAAAAAATTTATAGAAAAAAATTGCAGCAGTTTTTGAACACAAATGGACCTTTTTTTGAGAAAATTTTGAAAATGACCGGGATGCTTCACGCAAAGTATTCCCAAATTTATGGAAACTTTTTCAAAATCGCAGCGCCTCCAGTCCAGCCAGATCAGGAAAATACTCATTTTGAAAAAAATAACAACAAAAAAAAGCAACAACAAAGTAGGCGCTAGTGGTTGTCACAAATTGACAGACAGACTTTTTGAAAAAACAACAACACTTTTTCAATGTCAGCGGTCCCGTGACGTCCATTTCCGTTGAAATTTCGAAATCGATTTTCCGCAGCATTACATACAATAGAATAGTAAAATCTCGTCCTATATGGACATTTTCGATGAACAATTTGGAGCCGTTTTAAGATAATGGCGTTTAAGCTTTACTGTTAATGCGAAATTTGAAGCTGTTTTTCAAAGAAAATGTTTGCGTGTTCGAAAAACTTCATTTGAAAACAGTTTAAGCACTTTCACTCACAAATGCAATAGTTTTTACATCTCGCTGGAAATGTGAATATTAACGACGTGAGTTATTTAAAGAATTATTTTCTGTGATTTTTGAAAGAGAAAAGAATACCCAAAACTACATTCATGGCATATTAAACTGCAATTAGCACTACCTGTTGGAAAACTTTCAAAAACATTTGGATCAAGATTTGAGAAAATGGTGTTTGAGCGTTTCTGAAAACGCGCGTTTTTGAGCTAGTTTTTACAGAAAATGGTTGTTTTCGGTTTCATCTTTACGTGACATTATATAGAGCACACGTACTCATAAATATAATGTGAACAAACTTCCGATAATATAAAAAATTGCTGACGTGAGAAAAAAATACATTTTGATAATTTAACAAAACAACAACATTGGAGCAATATGTCGATTATGTCATGTAATATAGTACATTTATCACTACCCACCGCATGTATAAAGAAAAAATTAAGGCGGTTAAAAAAATTGTTTGTTATTTTTTAAATTTGCACAAATTGCACGAAATTTTGCGCAAGAAGTTTAAAGTTTTAAAACATGCACATCACCTCATTGAAAGAACTAGATATGGAAATAATCTTAATTTGAAGGAAAATCTCTATCTTCAATTTTGTAGTTGTAGGAAGACGCCGAGAAAAATTGAAACATGAATTTTTCGAAAATTCAGAATTTTAAACCTGAAAATCGGATTCATGCCACCTTTATATTTTACACCCCTCTTCCGCTGGCACTACAACATTCGGTTACCACAAAAACAAATATGTCATGTTGTATAAAGTTTAATTGCTAATTAATTACGCAAATATTAATTAGCGATTAAATAGTTCTAAATGGTGGCATAAGTATTTTTGTGGCTACTGAAGTGTACCGGTACTGTAGTGTACCAGCTGAACTCTTAAGGGGTAATTCATAATTAATTACTCAAAAATTGGATGACCGAAAAAAAATATTTTCCCGTAAATAATTAGTTATTACATCGTTCTACAAGGTAGCATTTTTGTTTTTGTGGTAACTGACTGTGGAGTGCCAGCTGGATATTTCGTCAGCTCATCATGAATTAACAATTAAATAGTATTAATGGTAGTATATATGTTTTTTTGGTAACCGATTGTGGTGAGCCAGACGAATATTTCGCCAGCACACCATTAATTACTCGGAAGTTTGAAGAACCGAAACAAAATTTTTACGTAATTAATTAACAATTAATTAGTTTTAATGGTGACATATATGCTTTTGGGATAACCGAATGTTGTAAATCCAAGAGGGGTGTATTTTACTCCAATCCTACAAGAAAGTTAACGAAAAACATGTGGAGCAGTTTTTCAGAAAATTTTGAAAATGCCTCAGGGACTTCATATTACTCCCAAATTTTAAAGCATGGTTTTCAAAATCTCAAAAATTCGACTGGAGCCACATCGCCAGAGGTTTCATCAATTTGGAAACAAAATTCTACTATGATTTAGGCTCTATTGGTGATCAGAGACGAATGGACAGACGGATTGTCGTTTTGTCGTCAATTAATTTTTCGGTTTGATGGGCTCACAAAACAAGCATTCTGGCCAAACTACCCGTTAGAGAATTTTTCTCTTAAATTAGCAACTGCATGTATGCACTTATGGTTACCAGGGTCCGGCAATGTCTTTTTTCTGCGGATACTCCGTATACTCCGTATACATGTATGTAAACCAAAATGTAAAAAGTAGCTTTAAATAGCAATATTAAAAGTACTTACTTAGTTATTAATAAGCACGTTCCTATCTTGCTGAGATAATCTTTAAGGTTATGCATCTTCCTTCCAAATAATATTTCACTTGATGAAGTCGTCCACATGTAGCCATCAACAAGAAATGCAACATTTTCACGTTCAATTACCATCTTCCGAAACTCGTCATATGCTACCAAACGAATGCCTTGTTGAATAATTCTTTGATGAGTCTGCAATTTGGCAGGAGAGAGTCCGTTGTCTGCATTTTCTGCTTCTTTCACAAACACGTAATTCACCATATCACCATAGCTGACCACAGGCATTGAGGAATCTGCCAGTTGCTCGAGAGTGTCGATTTCCGGAAATCTTTGGGGTTTGGCGACTAGTGAATAGAGGCGTCCCTGGACACACAAATCGTAAGAGATATAAGTTTATTGACCATTATTAACAGTGAAAGTTACGCTAAAAGGGTGACGGGACCTTTGAAAAATAAAGACGTATATTTAGATTGTGATCACTATTACTTTTTTAAAATTTGTTGCGTCTATACACACAACGCGTCTCCTAGCTCCTAAGAGCGTTGAGCGCACCTTGAAGTAATCCTTCGTTAATTACTATTATAGGAGTAATCCTCCTTTATTATACACCAAACACCCTTTAGGGGCCGCTGGGTAGTCAAGTCACGTCAGTCGCAGTCAAGGCAGGGAATCGCCGATAGGTAGCGTCTTCGCGCTCGCGTCTCGGACGCGCCCTGCGTCATCTACACATCGGCCAGAATTGGGAAGGTATTTGGTAAGGTTTAAAACGCTTCACAGGAGTTGGACGAGCCCCTGTGAAGCGTGCTAACACTTTGTCGAAACAATTTTTACATGAGGTTTACGGGGATTCTACGAGAATCGAACCGGGATCTTCAGTGGTGAAGCTGGTGAAAGCAATAATTATGAACCCAACACCAAGCTATGAACCTAACTGATTCATTTTCGTTCTCTTCCGATGAATTCAACTATTCAGAGATAATCAAAATTAGGACAGCCGTTCTTGAGTTATAAATGAGTTCTTGAGTTAACCCGACTTTGCTTTAAGTACCGAGTAGACTAAAAGGCCTGCAGCGGTCAAATATCTCAGAAAAAAATAATTGCGAGTAAAAATATTTTTAAAAAATTGAAGTTAATTTTCAAAAATCAATTCATTGATATCAAACATGACACCCAACCCAACTCTCTGGGGGTGAGGCGGGGGACAACTTCGAAATGCTAAAGAGAAGCTCCCATTTTTATTGCATATTCGGATTGTACCCCACAAAATACGTAGGTTTTGTCTGAAAGTTTTTTTTCGATTCTTGACAGATAGATATGTAGGTTCACAATACGTTTGACACTCAATTTTGGTATTACACTGCCTTATGTATTTTCTACAGACTAATGTTATTTCTGTGTAACGTAAATTCTTTTACAATGTTGATAGAGATTGGATATTGGGACTATTTATATCTAATTGACATCACCACAACATTTCCCTTGAAATGGATGAATTATATCAGCCATTCCATTTGTTACGGACGTTACATTTTGACAAATTTTACTGCCTTGCAACGTAAGACAACGAAAAGAGCGAAACATATGTAATGCTGCGCGAAAAAGCGGCAAATTAGCGGCAGAAAAACTTTTATTACAAGGATCTGGTAACGAAAATGTGGATAAATCCAGTTGCTAAATTTAAAAAAAACAAATCCTCTATCACGTGATGTAGTCAGAATCCGTTTTGTGGGTTCTTGATACCGAAAAATCGATTGAAGGCAAAACGTCTCTCTGTCTGTCCGTCCGTCCGTCCAACGATAGCAGCTAAACCGATCAGATGATTTTCTCCAAAATTAACATTACCAATCGATCTGGCTACTGTCGCCACCGATTCCCATCTCTTGTTTAGAAAAGACCTTGTACCTTCAACATCACATTTTGGAAATTTAATGTCATAATAACATGTTTCGCGTTTATTTCTCATGCAAAGCTGAGCACATCATCTCGAGAACTGATTTTTGGGTTAATGAAAATGTACAAATGATCTAGCTGGATAAGCTGCTTGAAAATAAAATTTTTCCTAAGGATTGTGATTTCAAAATACAATTTTTCATGTAGTTTTAGATACCCCCCTGCACATCCTTCGTAATATCGAAAAATGTGTTTTTTATTTTTTTCATTGAATAGGTCGAGATTTACCTTAGAAAATAATGATTCTTTATCTGAAAATAACTCAATTTTTGAATTTTTAAAAAAATTTTGCTTTTCACAAAATTTAAACTTTTAAATGGATTTTAAAATTTTTGATCTTTTCAAAGCAAATTTTAATTCTACCGAATGCACAAGAAAATTCTCAAATGTTGCCCTAAAAATAATCTATTTTCTGGATTTTTTTAATGATTGGTGCGCCATGTTAAAAAATTAAAATAATATTTTTGTCCATTATTTTCATATATATATATATATATATATATATATATATATATATATATATATATATATAACTGTTTAGATGTATGTACAGTAATTAAAATATTTTTCTTATATTTGAAATGTGAAAAGGCTAATATCAATATAGTAGTTTAGGTAACAGAGGCGCAAAACAGTTGATTAACGCACGAGTCGAGTGCCGGAATCACCTAGTGCTCGTGTTGCATTCCGTCCCTTTTTCCCATGTCCCTTTTATCCCACTTTTCCCGCTTATCCATTTGCCGTATTAACTCATTTTGTGCTGATGTCCGACGTGTTCCCTTGTCCCATTTTGTCCCCTTGTCCAATTTTGCTCATTGTCCAAATTTGTCATATTGATCAATTTTCTCCCATTACACAATTTTCACCCCTTGTCCAGTTTTGTCTCGTTTATTTTCCTTGTCCCATTTGCTCCCTTGTCCCATTCTGTTCCCTTGTTCCATTTGTCCCCATGTTACATTCACGCTTTGTCTAATTTGATCTCCGTGTTACATTCACCCTTTGTCCAATTTGACCCACTTGTCCCATTCGGATTCCAATTTCCCATTTTGTCGCCTTGTCCCATTTTTCATTTTGTCCTCATTGTGTAATTGCTCCCCCTTTATGGTACGAGATTGGTTTGTCTGGAGTGATACATGTGAAGTATCTCCCAAACTTGGAAGACATGTTTTCAAAAGCGCGGCGCCTCGAGTGGAGCATGATCCACTGGAAAATATATATTTTGAAAAAAGATACCGGATGTATGGTTTAGACGCTAGGGGTGTTCATAGACTGACGGGCAGACAGACAGAGGGCCAGATGGAGTTTTCGACATCAATGTTTTTTTTTTGTATCAAGGACGCACAAAACAGGAATTCTGGCTTTAGCATGCGTAAAAGGATTTTTTCTTTATTTAACAACTGGATTTATCGAAGTTATTGTTATCAGGGCAACCTTGAAAACATAGAATATTGATTAAAAAATAACCATGACAGTCGAATTTAAGGCAAATTCTAATTTAATTAGTAATGACGTACTATGTATCACATTTGAACTAAAATATTTTACTTCGCATTGTTTCAGCATAATTAAAACATGGATATTTTAAAAATTGATGTTCTTTTTCGACATTTTCATCGTCATCAATAAAAATTGTTTGTGATGTATTGGAGTAACGATTGTTTGCTTGAAGTTGCTATCACTATGTACAAATGCGATCCTTTGTACCTTAGACTTTAAACAATAAATGTGCCAACAAAATCTTGTATGATCTTTGATAAAAATCAGTGACACGCCTACTTGAAGGGTTCCTGACTCTTCAAGATGTATGACTTCTTTGGAGAATGGGGATGAAGACACAGGAGACCACCCCCCAACGAAGGCAGTGATACATGATCAAAAATAGTCTTCATTTATTTTCTGAACTTAAGAAAGTCATTCAATAAATAAATTGTTTACAATATAAGTATTAACATTGGGAAAACACATACACATATAGTTTATATTCAGTAGCAATGAAAAATTCTACTACAAGTATTTGGTGACAACGACAACGAAATGAGCAGCACGCTACCTACTCCAGGCCTAACTGGGCCTGATATGTGGGAACAGCTAGAAACCCAACAGCACCTCGTAGGTGGGAGATGCAGTCAGGTCGTTGACCAGCTGCATGGGCAACTGTACCTGGTACGCGGCGGCGATGACGACGGCAGAGGCGAGCAGCGCGCCGGCCAGCTGCAGGCGCTGCGGCAGGGCGCGAATCCGGGCCTGCGCCACGCCGCCACACGAGGAGAGCGCGGCGAGCGTGGCCGTGAGGCACCGCAGGGCTCCATCGCCAGACACGACGCGCCACGCCAGAGCGTACGCGAGCACTGTGGCCGCCAGCGCCCCCCAGATGCGCGCACTGAACACTCGCAGAGGCAGCGACCAGCCCGGCAGGTTGCCCGCCGGCCGAACCACCACAAACAGATTCGATTTGTCCCACGTTGCTTGGATGCATTGGTATCCTTTTTTTGCTATTCCACCATACTGAAGCATGGTGCTGCTAATGGGTGTAAATCCATATGCGACTAACTCTGCTTGGAACTTATAGAGCATTTCCAAATATGCGTGTTCTGAAAGTACATCTTTCTAAAGAATTTTTTGCCTTCCAATTTCTACCAGCAATTACGCAATGGGGCCCAATTGCTAGGAGATAAATAATGACTTTTACTGTTTTTACCTTACATCCTAATGAGAGAAAGTATTGTAAAGAGCGATTTATTGCCAAAAATCTTTTTGCCGGGCCCTGATAACGAAAATGATAAATCTTGTTCTAGTATGTTGTAAATCATGTCTCCTAACACCCTGTCACAATGTATGTTTTGTGGGTCTCACATGAAAATACAAATGGTCCCTCTCAGAACGTGGACTCAGCTCTGAAGGTTGTCTACTGGAATGCAGGAGGTCTTAGCAATTTCTTAGTCTAAGCTTAGCTAAGTTCTTAGAGTTTAAACGAAGCGTCCTCGCAAAGGATAGAGATATCTATGTTATTGGAGAAGCGGGTGCTGCGCCAGAAACAACCCAATCTACACAACAAATGGTTACTCTAACCATATTTTATAAAGAAGCCGACAAGCAGCTTAGGGAATGATGATTGGAAACAAAACGACCCTAGTAAGCGATTCAAAAATACAACACGAAATGCAAGATAGAAATAGTCTGGAAGCTTACAATGTGGAAGTCTGGAAGAGAACATACCATAATCTTTATTTATAACCCCCTTGAAAACATACCAGAACTGGAGATACACATCTAGATGGCCACATCCTGAGAAATACTGTTATAGTAGGATACTTTAATACCCCATCTCTAAGATGGGGTAACAAAGAACAACAAATGCCGGCAGACATCTGGAGGCTTTCATCGACTACATCTCGCTAAAGAGACGCCACCTA